CTTCCAACATCTCGCTGTTTATATTTCAAACTGGGTGAGTATGACAAGTGCATCGATCTAGGCAATGGAGTTGCACGAGTCAATATATCCATGTGAGGTTCACCCAAAATGCTGTATCACCTTAGAAATCAATTCGACCCTCCACAGAAATTGAGGTTCGGTGGACCTTTGTGTCCAGAGCACACTCTAATGTCATACTATTCGGCTGCGGATGAAGTTCAAGGGAAGCACGAGCTGCCAGGTTTTCCAAAAATAGACAAGAGTAACAGAGTTGGGAACAGCTTACATGAGCAGCAGCTCGCGTCTTTCCTACTACGTTAGTATCTCGAAAGCGGTTGAAGAGGAGTTGAATTTCCACTGTCAGATCTAATTCTACAGGGTTGAGTTCTGTTGACAAGCCAGGCACCACCAGTGTACATCAAACTGTCTCAAAACCCCGGGGCACAGGAGTCCGACACTACCACGAATATTGGATCTACAGTTATATATGGGTATATGGGTATATATATGGTTATATGATGAGTAGGTGTTTACCGGGTGTCTCATAATAGACGCGAAATTTGATTGGGTGAATAAACGTAGGCAACCAGAGAAAGGATGACGAAATCTTTCATTGTTAGTAGCCACATAAAGGAGGTTTTGTGGGCGAGTGTTGGCATTTTTTCTTTCTACGATGGATGTCAGTACGCGCATTGAAATTGTGAAACTATTATTTCCTTGGTGAAAGCGCCACCACTGCACGTCGTGGTTACAAAACCAAACATGGTCTCATCAAAGATCCTTTCACCGTGTCGACCATTACACGCTTGATTGCGAAATTTGAGTCCACTGGATCTGTATTGGATTCTCCTGGCAAAGGGAGAAAATCTCTGAGTGATGAAAGAGCGCCCATTGTACAGCATGCCGTCGAGCAACTTCAGTCCCAGAGCATCATGGCATCTTCGTCAACAACTCAGGTGTCTCAGTTGACCGGCATTCCCCGCGCCAGCGTGCATCGTATTATGAGACGCCACCTTCATCTCTACCCGTATCCTTTCACTTTATTATAAAACATCACGGAAGACAAGGAGCAACGTGTCACGTTCTTGTCACTTTTTCTATGATGCTAGAGTACCTGGCGACAGTTACCTCCATATGTTGCAGACGCATTTTATTCCGCAACTCAAGCAGCACAAGAAATCATCGACCGTCTTTCAACAAGATGGCGTTCCACCTCTTTACCTCCAAGTGAGAACTTACCTCCGAGAGCAATTTTCTGATGAGAGAGTCATTGCTCGTGGATTTCCATTTTTTTGGCTCGCAAGGTCACCCGATCTCACACCTCTGCTTTATTGGTTTTGGAGAATGATCAAGGCTCGCTTGTATTATGAAAATAAACCGAAGAATTTGGTGGAGTTAAGAGCAAGAATTGAAGAGGAGTGTGCACTAGTGACGCTTGAGGAAATTAAACATGCTGTGTCTCACATCTCATACCGCCTCCAACTGGTTATAGAAGAAAGGGGCGGTTTGTTTCAACATCTTTTGTATTACCAGTTTATTAATAATATACCTCCATAACGGCTGTATTTTTAAATAAAAAAATAATAAACGTTTAAGTTAGTGGTGAAGTTTTAACATGGGTGTTATTTATCCCGTTTATAATGAGACACCCTGTACATTCTCTAAAGAGTATGTGAGTGCATGCCCGGGTTTATCAACCAGTACGCTAAACCAAAGTCCTGTTGACAAAGTGAATTAGTGCCGCATCTTCGGGGTACAAAAAAACGCGACTCCAATAAGCTCTCCACCAAGAAGACAGGCAAAATATAAGATGGACAGTCTAGGTTCCGGAGTGGTCCGAGAACATATTTGCGGTTTTCACGACTGATGTGTTCATAAGTTTTCCAAAATTAAGCCTGGAGGATAAATTTTTAATGTTTGCTTATGATGATGTTAACAAACTCGTCGAGGCAACAGTTAGTGAGTGGTGCGAATACAATGTTATAAGGAACAAACTATCCCCCCAAAGGACAGGGGTCTCGGACTTACTGAAACGACTTCTGCTTTCCCCGATCCGGAAACAACGAACATCACGTGCCGAGCTTTGTTCAGCACGGGTAAGGTCAGGGTTACACGTTGCGGTGGTGGCTTTGGGCTGTCCGTGATTGGAGCGACCGCAGCCTCCTCACACTAGGATGGCAAAAACGACAGATCAAGAAGTCAGTGGAGCCATTGCAGAACTCCGATACAAGACTATAGTGTCATTTAAGTTGTAGGGAGAGACGATTTCGTCATATTGGACTAGTTATTAATCCTACGAGTAAATCGTCCTATCGAAAGAAGTCGATTTGGCTTCTTTGATGTATCTGAGGGAAATCAGGGATCCCGGGACCAAACGACCATTCGGTGTGCCAACCATTGTGTGATCAGCCACAAAACAACGCACAAACCATGATGGTGACGCAATAATGAACTGCCGATGGATTTCGCTAAATCTTTCTAACCCGTTAGATTCAGCTACGATTCACTCGTGTCTCCCGTAAATATCAACTAGGTGTATCCCGAATGCAAGACTCGCTACCCTTTTTCATCAAGAGGTGCTTCCGAAGACCAGGCTAAACAGGATATTCTGGAGGGCTTATGAAATATAATTCATACTGAGAAATCAAATATATTCTTATCAGGCCTGTGGTAACAAGCTTTTTAAGGAGAACGCGAAAACCTTGTGTTTTTACTTATTCAAAGCCGCAGGACTACGCTTCGCCTGGTGAACCAAACATGCCTAGGGTGCAGTTCTTAACCCAGGTGTGATAACAGTCGAGTTCTTGATCTTGTTTCTGAAGACTCTCTGTTAAGTGAGTCAAACGTGTCCGGCATAAGTGTTCACACTGTGTACCAAAATTACCACAAGCTGCTAGGAACCACACAGACAACAGTCGTGGTTTTTGCTTCATCAGGCACGGGTTAACACAAACAAAATATCGTAAGTAACGACACACCCAGGAAACTCTTCTGAAAGGAGGCCATCCTCCCTCAGCGGCTTGTCATACCCCTCACCCCAAGAAAAGCAACCTCAGGAGAGGCTAGATATCCCTAGTCCCCCAGGTGGTCTGTTTTAGGAGATCATGTAGCTGGACGCGAGGCCCAACATTGTGTTGAATGCATTTTACCGGACCTCAGGCTTGAAACCCATTCCAAATCGGAAACAAAAACATTCAGAAAACATTGTCTGCCTAAGAACATTCCACCAACCTACACGTAGGAGTGTGTGGTTCGGAAAGAGCGAACAGGTGTGTCCATCGGGACCGATTCCAAGCAGGAGCAGGTCAAAACACGGAAAACCGTGCTGAACGCCAAAATGATTAAGCATTGCCTTCTGATAATCGACTGCAGCTTCGGGTGCTAGGGGAAGAATGGTTAATCAGAGGGGCCACTGCAGTCGTACCAGAAAGTGAGGTGTCCACGGAGTGAATGTTTTCTCTAGGTATATCAATGTGCGAGAACAATTCTTTCTCATATAGGCCATGAGTGGATTCCGGATCCGTCACAGGGACGAGACGCTCATCACAGTAGAAGAAATGAACTGAAGACCACTGGAAGTTGGATAGCTTTCGCAAGCTCGGTGAAATAAGTTTAGCCATGCTGCCACCTACAAAAGTCACGTTCGTGGTAAGAGTGTGTATATACCTGATAATCCGATGGAAAATGTTTTATTTAGGCCCGATGATTTTTCCAGCAGACCGCTAATAGCCTCACCCACGGCGATTCCAAGTTGTTGTTCATCGGCATAGATAAATCGGGTAGTTCCAGGAGGCATTTCCCTTAGTAATCAAGAGGCGATTCACAAGATAGATTGGAGGCAACGATCTGGAAGTATAAAAAATGAGAGACGTTTTCTTCCGGTGAAAAAACGTCCCAGTCATCAAGTTGTTACAGCATGAATAACGGAATTATCTCATATAGGTAGTAAGTGGCTCAGACTACCGTCATCACCGCCCAACTCGTAAAAGCCTTGAGTGGGCCATCACTTAAAGCCACTGAATTGAGATGGCAGCATTTCATCCATCAAACAAATGTGAATATATACAGCTAAGCGAACTGCTGTCCTGCTCGGCAAAATCCATAAGCTCTCAGCATCTGCCGCGTCTATTCTTCTCCTCACTGGAAAACAAATTTCCGACAACGGTGGTCTCACGCAACCCCAATTTCCTAGAGAATTGTTACACCACTGTTTCCATTTCCAGGTAGGAGTTCTGACGACTCCTAGTTATCTCACTACATTGACCCAACAGTTGTTCAGCTGATTTTCAAAATTTTTGGCTGCAAATTACCCTCCCTGTAATTAACAAACACTTCTGCCGTGCACAGTACAGTCACCACTGAAACCCATCTACTGAATGCCAACTGAATCCGCCATTCCGAGCTCATCATATTCACGCAGCTCTGACAATGAATTTCTCATCGCACACGGACGCAACCAGCCATGAAGCAGGATACTGATCCCAAATCGCACCTCGTCCTCACCGAATTTCCGACTACAATGCTGACTCATTACATATCCTATCCTAAGGGGCGAGATGGCCCAAGTGGTTAGAGCGCGAATTTACTGACCGGAAGGTTCGTGGTTCGAATCCGACCTCTACCTGTCGACTTCCCCTGTCTAGGCTTGGGCAACCTGGCAATATACCAGCCTCGTGCTTCCTTTGGGTGGCATGGCAGCTAGGCACCGAAAGGATGCAACAGCTGAACGACCACCCATTCCTCTGAGCCGATATGCTATTCTGTTCACTTTTAGTATCTGTTCCCACGTGACTTCTATTGCCCCTCACATGATTTTGGCGCCACTCAATCGCTGGTTGAGATGGCACACGACAACTGTTCGACACTTGGTATCGCCAACAATCGTACAACTTTTTCTGAGAACCTTAGGAGTGCCATTATTAATGGACTACGCCAATAGGTCTCATTGTAGAAAAAAATCGTTCAGTTGTAACACCCCTCCGGTGCCTAGCACCTATGCAATCCGAAGGAAGAACGAGGGCTCAGATACTGCCAGGTTGCCCATGCCTGAACAGCAGCAGTCGAGCTGCTAGGTTCGGTTCGAACCACGGATCTTCTGGTCAGTAAGTTCACACCTTAACCATTGAGCTATCAATCGAGCTCACATAGCCCTAAAAAATTAAAATGGTATTCAAACGTTAGTTAGAAAACATTCTTACCATATGACAAAAGGGTATCACTTTGTAAACGTAGATCATATCAGTCACGATTCATGCTCGCCCAGTGTCTTGTAAATCGCTCGACTACTGAGACACACAACTGGCCAATTTCGACCTTCTGCAAAGGTAGTAAAAGTTGTAAAGGAACGACTGATTACGTAACCAAAGAGTTTGATCCTCAGACAAAACCGGGCGGTACTCACTTACTTACAATAAACACCCAATTTTTATAAATCGGAAAGCCCAGCAGCATGGTCTAATCATGGATACCCTTGTGCTGTTAGAGGGATGTATAAACTATGACGTTCTTGTTCGTTCCCTCATCCCGTTCATACCACCTTGTGGCTTGGAGTTTCTGTACCTGAATCACGGACAACGCTGAGAATAAGCTGTTCGGTCTAAAGGCCGACTAAACGTCCAGCACACCACGCGGAAGTCAGTACCTTCGGAATCTTGCGAACGCAGTTGGGCGAAATTTCTGTCCTCCCTCATTTGAGCCTATCCACGACTCCACTGGAGTCCTAATCTGCCCCCCCCCAAGATGGGACCGAACCCTGACTGAGTTGGGCTTCCCAAGGAATCACTCGATTCTGATATACCTTGACGGTGCTTTCCCCCTCACCCAACTGTGAGATTTTTCGAACAGTAAAATGGACCGGAACTTCCTGAAAACTCGGCTTCTTTTTCGCTTCCGTATAAAACCTCTTCATCTAATAGTATTTTTCATACATCTCCCAGATTCGCTCCAGCACGGGGTACTCGTGTTACCTTTGGGTGGTGCTCCCTTCTTTTACCCGTATACAGTAAGCAAAATAAGGTTGTGCGCTTCGTTGAGTCCCCCTCATTGACCGATAACCTGCACACACACTACTTCCCCCGAATGTAGCCTCCCTCTCTCCATTTCGTTTCTACTACCATGGTAAATGGTCCACTGAACTCATCTCTTTCACAAATTCCCACAATCACTCAGTTGATCGATGCACCTGTGATTCTCTAGTCATCCATATGCAATCGCAGTCCCCCGATGATTTGCATAACTGCCCTCGTCCTCAATTCATTCAGAACTGTTACTATGTGAAATTCTCGGTCACCTGCTTTTCCAAAGCTAAGGATAACGTTCATCTGTCAAAAACTACGATTCTCCACACTTGTTTTATACTTTATCAAGTTTCATTAATTGTTTCATGCTTTTAACCAAATCAGCGTCCGTCATTCCCACATGGTGTCACTGGCCATGGGTCCTCGCTTTTCATGCAACAAAAAAATAAATGAGTGTTACATTCACTCAACTCGGTATCGATGAGATACTCAGCTGAATTGCTCATTTATAACCCGCTTCAACTGAATGCGTTGAACGTGCGCAAAGTCTCGGACACATCCAATCAGAACCGCTTTCAGTACAGCTCAATTTGGCAACCATGAACCGTACACGTACGTAAGGTGGTTCGAGTCGCCGCGGCTTAGGGCAGAAGAAAAACAAATATCAGGTCAACGATCAAGAAGAAGAGGACGGATACCGCACCGTCACTGACTGCGTGACATTGTCATGTCCGCGAACACCTCCAACTAGTGACGATAAGGGACTCTGATAATTCAAACTCGCAGACGAGGTGCACGGCCGAACCAAACTCCTTTGTTTTTCCTTCACGTTCCCTCAGCAGATTGCGTCATCCAGTCGGAACCTGGCTTAACAAACAGGAGACGGTGAGATAATCAATGGCCTGGCAAACGGAGCACAAGACCGACCCAGAATGTTTGGTGTGGATCAAATTGATTCGTCAACCGGACAGGCAGCAAGTCTGTTGCGCAAAACCATTCGGGAACTTCAACAATATCAGGTCAACGATCAAGAAGAAGAGGACGGATACCGCACCGTCACTGACTGCGTGACATTGTCATGTCCGCGAACACCTCCAACTAGTGACGATAAGGGACTCTGATAATTCAAACTCGCAGACGAGGTGCACGGCCGAACCAAACTCCTTTGTCTTTCCTTCACGTTCCCTCACCAGATTGCGTCATCCAGTCGGAACCTGACTTAACAAACAGGAGACGGTGAGATAATCAATGGCCTGGCAAACGGAGCACAAGACCGACCCAGAATGTTTGGTGTGGATCAAATTGATTCGTCAACCGGACAGGCAGCAAGTCTGTTGCGCAAAACCATTCGGCGAACTTCAACATTCCTGATTCGGTGTTTTATGATACATGTTCAATACTTCAAAAGCACCGCTGGTTTAAGACAAGCCATCTTCGTTCGTGTTCAAAGCAAACGAGCAAAGCTTCAAAACCATAAAGCGGCACTGGACGCACTACCGCACTGCTGACTGCCTTTCACCGACAAGCTGATGTCACATCGATCCCAAAGGTGCCTTAGTTGAAGGATCCTTCGCTTCGTCAGCTATACTACCATTCGAAGTGGTACCACAAACCACTGTTTATGATGGAGATCGTTCGGAATGTATCGAAATTGATCGGGCCGATTGAATCTGGTCACAGGTAACCGTACAAAGTTCTGCTAAAGCATGTATTGAAATAGCTCAATCGCTCTTCAGTTTCTATGTTGACACGCGTGGTGAGGCGGAAAACGAGTAATATGTACTCTTAGTTGTCTACCAGTCTCCCGTAAAAGTAATACTACACCATCCCTGACTACCCCGGGAAGACTATCCTTAGGGTGGATCACACAGTATTTTGTTGCATTGCTTCACTTGAAGGATGTATATTGAGTCTAAATGAAACCACATGTGCTCGACCCCAAGTATGCTGACGATAGATCGATCTGTAGAAGGATGCTGTTTCTAACTTGTTTGTGGTTCACCTATTATCATCTCCAGGAAAGCTACCGGCTGGTTTTTTATGCAACATTTCCGTTACAGTGCTAATTTCATAAGCATTCGAGGTTTCATCAGAGCAGATCTTGTTCGCCCTGTTCATCAGTGACTGCAAAACAGTTCGCTTAATTTTCACCGGATGATATGAGAAGCAATTCAGATACCGTCCGGACTCAGCTGGCTCTCGATATAAACACGGAAACCCGAGTGGTTAGCTGTGACAAAACGATCCAGCGAACCCAAAGCTAGATCAGAAATTTGAGTTTTAGAGGTGAACGCCATTACACAGGAGTTGAGGGAAACTAGCAGATTGCTTGGGAACCCGTATACTGTGAATAGAAAACTATCATCGACACAGCATCACCAAATGTCTGGCGGGTTGGAAAAATTGTCCATCCGTTTTTCTACACTTCCAATAAAAACGTGTGCCACAGTTGGCGCAAATGGGGAGCACGGTGTTTGTTTGTATAGAAACAGCTTAAATGTTGAAAAGTAGGTCGTAGATAGAGTCCAATCCCCGATACTATTTTAGTGGGTTAGAGACCAATAGAAGTACTGATTGTCGGATCATTTCTAACACATGGTGTAAAGCGAAATACACTCAGTTGCAAACTAATGTGGTTTTGTGAGAGACTCACCTGGAACCCAACTGGTTCCCTCGTTTGTGATGTTTCCAGGCAAATGAATGTGCTGCACCAGGCCGTCTCATGTTTCAGTCGCTACGATATTCGAGATACCGCGATACATGTACATTTTGCAAATGAGTGT